TAAAACATTTTAAACATTGTCACTACAAATATTTATTCAAGGCCTAAACCCATTCTGAAATACATGCAATATCTGCAAATAAATGTAATTTCACTGAATTGTAATGTAATTGATTAAATAATCTTTAGTTTGAAGGTCCAATCACAAAAGTGAAATCTCAACAACATTTCGGCAAAAAGCTTTAACATCAGCTTTTATGCACAACAATGAGGCATTCTCATCATTTCCTTACACAGGGTTTCTGCAGGTTTTATGAATTAAGACTTTTTAAGACATTTGTAAGATCAGTTAAAGAACAATTAAGGAATAAATTGAAACACAATATGTCAGTATGGTCTCTAAATGCAAATGTCTTGTTTAAAAATGCAACGTCCAACAGATCTCCATTATGTTTTCATTAAGTTTACCAAAACAAAACAAAAAATAACATTTACTGTTCCTTCTGATCACACTGCAACAAATTGATGTTTTGTTTTCCAGTGCAAATGTCCAACGACTCTTAAATCAAGATACATTTACTGGAGAAACAAAATGACAAAATAAGAAGTCTGAGAGTTTTCTGAGTGAGTTTGTGATTAAAACAAGAACAAATATCTGTCAGTGGGCTCAAAATATCAACTTAATTTAAATGGAGAACAAGTTTTCATTCCTCGCTGATATTCATATTTGTTCTTATTTTAAGCATAAACTCACTTAACTGTGTTCAATTTCTTAGAAAACGACTTCACATACTCAATTTGCATCTTAATGAAGTACATGTATCTTGATTTAGGGATATTTAAATATTTGTACTGGAAAACCAGACAAAAAACTGATGTTCAGTTTGGTGCATGCCACATTTAATGCTAGGAATTTATGAATTTAAGACTTTTTGCTGTGACCTTTTTAGGTCTTAATTTTGTGGAAGGGTGAATTAAGACTTTTTAATACCTGCAGAAACCCTGTTTACAGTTTTATGCACAAGCCATCAACCATTGAACACATAAGGGCTGAAGTACGAATCACGATGAATGCCACACTCTTAACATCAGTCTGATATGATGAGTACCTCCTCTGGAGCACTCTCAAACAATAAATAAATAAATAAAAAGTTAGGAGTGATCTGTCAGTAGTTTAAGATTAAAGTACTAAACAAAATCCATGGCGTAAGAGTTCACACGGTTTACATAAGTGCTTTAGAGCTGTGGAGGTGATGAAGAGTAAACGGCGGTGAAGATGATGGTGATGATGAAGGAGGAAGAGCACTGACCTTTACACTACACAGGTGTAGCAGCATTATGATTCAGAGACTCAAAGCACATCAAATTCTGAGTAGAAGGTCAGGAGTTACTGAAACGGCATAAAACAAACCCTCTGAATCCCAACCCAATCAGACTGACCACGACCACTCAGTCCTCCAGTGTGTGTGTGTGTGTGTGTGTGTGTGTGTGTGTGTGAGTGTG